CGCCTGGGCGGCCGTGCCCCCAAGGCCTCCCTTGCCTCGCTGGCAGGTTTCGCTCTGCCTTACCGGCTCCCGGCTCAGGCGCGCACTCCGCCTGCTCCTCACATCCACACAGCTGCTGCCAGAGGAGGAAGGGAGGGCAGCGCGCGGTGGATCCAAGACAGTAGATTTGGTGTCTGCTCGTAACTCCCGGGAAACTCTGCCCTGGTGCTCCCGCCCCTCTCTCCAACTATTCCTCTGTGCTGCCGGGCCCAGAGCCCGACGTGTGGGCCCTGGCTATTTCGCTACCCTTTAGCTTCCCCGCATCTGGAGTTGCTTTGCATTCCGCATTCCTTTCAACTTCCACTTGCTACCTCCTATCCTCTCGCTCTCTGTTGTCACTGTAGCGGTGGGTGGCACTGGGGACGTCCCAGATCGTCCAGCACAGTCTCCCTCCACTACAGTGCGCTGAGCTGCGGGCTCCAGCAGGCTGAGAAGAGGGTTAATCATTACCTCCCCATCAACAGTCAACCACCCTTGGACTCTCTCACCCAGGCTCAGGGAGGAGGGGGCAGCTGGCCCGATGGAGACCGGGTTTGCCCTACCAGCCTCTGCAGGCCTTCCAGGGGCAGGTCTCTTCGGTGGCCTCAGCACCCCCTTTGGGTCCTCCGTTTCACCCCTTCTGCTTCCCTCCGCCTCCTGGCACTCCTATCAGGCTCTGCCCACGTCTCATCTCTGCTCAGTCTTTGGCAAGTTGACTGCAGGTTCTAGGACGACCAACTCTCTTTGTTTGGAACCGGACAGAACGGGGTTTCCTTTCCCCAACCTCTGCCAAAGGTTTTGGCTGAGTGGCCCAAAGGGGACCGTGCCTCGGATCACAATTAACCCGATTGTTGGGGATGTGGGTGAGAAATTGAACTGATCTAGCGGTTACAGTAGACTGGTGTGTGTGTGTGTGTGTGTGTGTGTGTGTGTGTGTGTGTGTGCAGGAAGTGGGAATGGAGGAGTGGCAAAAGAGACGAGAAACCTGGATGGGTGTGGTGTAGTCAAAAGGGAAGGGGCGGGAGTCTGCAAGGCAGAAACACAGGAAGGAGTGGCAGTGAGGGATCCCAATAACATTTATGGGGTAGGATGAAAAACAACACCTTCGTGTTCTGCCAGCCTGCAAGCTCAGACCCCCTCCCCCACTTCCCTCTTTGGGGTTGTCATGTGTTCAGAAAGCTGGACAATTATTCCTTCACCCACTATAGAAGTGTTTGTTTTTCAAAGGCTCCATAGTGCACAAGTGTAATTGTCCCCATTTTACAGGCAAGAAAACTGGGGCTTTAAAAAAGCATAGGGACTATGCAGGCAGAGACAGCGTCTCCTTCCTGAAGGCAGGGCGGGGTTGGTGGGGGGGAGGTGGGATGGGGGCGTTGGGGTGGTGGTGAATGGTTCTTTTAGCAGCCCTCCGTGGGTGCCTGGGGCCGGTAAGGTGGTATTCAGGTCTGAGACAGGATTTTCGGGGCCTCCTTGATTCTTTCCCATCTACTTTTCCCTCTTTGGTCAAAGTCCTCCACTCCTACCCCGTGGGCCTGCTGGCCAAGTTTTGACTATTTTTACACCCCTCCACCAGTTCAGTGGTCCACGGGCAGCCACCTGGCTGACCCGTGCCAATATGAGGCCCCTTTAGTAGCCAAGTGGTTTGTATTGTCATTACTCCTCAAAGGGGCTGTGAAGGGCCAGGGAGGTTGCTAGGTCCTCTTACGTAGGGAAGCAGGGTTAAAGGGAGGAGGGGCCAAGGAGGATAAAGGCTCAGCACGTGTGCTCGGCCTCTACAGGACCAACAGACTAGGCGGGCGGGGCCAGCTGGCAGTCAGGACCCCCAGGATTCTTGTGGGGTGTCCAAATATTGGGAACAAAGGCGGGAAACGAAGAGTGAGAACAGGAGGGAGGGAGGGAGGGAGCAAGGGGGGAGAGCGAGGAAGCAGAAATTAGGGGGTCTTGGATGAAAAAAAAAGTAGCTTTAGGGAGAATGCGCTGTGGAGTGTGAAATTGCAGCCCATGGTGCTCCATATTGTACCAGAAGCTCTTCCAAAAAAAAAAAAAAATCCTCCAATGTGACCAGAAAGCCGGCTAGGCAGGGGGAGGGGAGGGGGGCTGGCGGGAGCCGGTCAGGCAGGGCATGAGAGGGGCCTCAGAGCGTTCACCCACTGCCAGGGATCTGGACGCCTAGGGTACGCCCTCCAAGGGCGCACTGGGAGGGCAAGTGGGCCGCGGGTGTGCGACCCAGAGTTTGATTGTAAGAACTTTTTTTCTTTTCTTTTTGTTAGTGGATATGATGAGTTCCAAACGGAATAATCCAGAAAAGACACTGGGCTACGTAGTAGCTACTCAACTGGCGCTTTCTCCCTCTTTGGATTGTGCTTTCCTTTCCTTCGGACTAGGTTTTTTTCTAGGTTTTTTTTTGTCCCTTAATTCTGAACAGCACCCCCCAACACACACACTTTAATGCTTTTAATTTGGTCTGCGCTGTGGGGAGCATTTCCTGGGGAGTTACGCTTAATTTCGGAATTTCTAATCCCCTCCGTTGGAGCTCAGGCCCTAGCTCCCCTCGCTACTCCCCAGGAGGTAGGAGAGAGACAAGCCTAGGCCACGGGGGAGGGGCACAGCTGGGATGCTCCACTGCAGCCCGGCCCTTTCCAGATCCCCGGTAGCACAGACACCTTCGAGAACTTTTTGAGACCCCGTGCCTAGTCCCAGGGTAGCGCTGTGCGAGCAGAAGGGAGGCAGACACGTCACTCTCTTTTCCGTCCTGACAGAAAGTTCCTGGGCAGCAAACAAACCAAAAACCTAGCAAAAGAGTCACAAATAGGAGTCGGGGTAAGCGGGGTTAGCACTCACACTTTACTTATGCGTAATCTGCTTAGAAATACATTGAAAGCTGAGGTGTAAGTCACACACGGCTTGGGACACCTCTGCATAAGTTTATACAGGAGGTCATTCTTATCGCGACCACAGCCTCCCGCACACATAACACTTGAGCGGAGCAGTGGAGAACCCTAGCTGGTCGAAAAGGGAGGAGGTAGGAGTGGGCCGCCAGGCGCCAAGCTAGCATGGCAGAGATGGGAGCGGAGAAGGCGAAGGAGCCGAGATCCACAAGGAAGATTTATTGGGCAGATCAGATGCACAGAGGCGGCTAATGAAGCAAATCCCGAGATGGGTATCAGAGCAACTCCCCAAAAGTTTATTTGCCTTTAAATTTCCGCAGGGAGGCGGGCGCCTTGTTTGAAGTGTAAATGCCCCTAGGTTGGGGTGGGGGTGGAAGGGCTGCTTTGAAAACACTGGAGAGAAAAGGTTCATTTAGAGGCAGACGAGGGAAAAGCAACCAACCCTGACAGGTCAGAGCCCTGGTTGTGTTTGGGGTTGGGTTGTTTTCTTCTTTCTCTTTCCTCTCTTTCCTCTTCTTTCTTCTTTTTCCCCCCAACTCTTTCCCCTTCTGTTAGGACCCATAGAAGAAGAAAAAGAATAGGAAAAGGGAGTTGGAGCGAGAGGCCACCGAGGAGGGACAGATGCAGGCCAGCCCTTCATGCTGAAGTCCAGAGAGAAGGCTGTGCAGAGGCTAACGGAGCTTCCAAAGCAGCAGGGTGGTTTGCCTTTTGATTATCTAGAGCCAGAAACTGACTGGGAAGCTAGACAGTGTCCCAGGAGCAAGGGGAGAAAGGCGTGCTTAGGGCTTTCTGAGGCTACCTGGACATTGGACAGTTACTAGCCCTCATTCCCAAGAGGGTCTATATAAAAGGTACGTGTGGGAGTGCCAACTTCAAACACGCTGCTTTACAAACTGTTAGTTCTCTTTACAAAATGTAAAGATCAACCCCTCCCCCAGTACGTGAAAATGCCCATTGTCCTAGTTCACACTTCATAGTGTACGAAAAAGGAATACTGAGTTCTAGAGAAGTGTGGATTTCTGTGTGGAACGAGGGAGTCCACGCATTTTTGTTTCTCCAACGGTTCAGACTCATCAAGACATAACTTATGTACACATATGTACAGTGTACATATGTGTGGAGACCTGGCCAAGGCTCCTTTATGGGTTTCTAACCACGGTTTCTTTTTAATGCTCCCCACATTCAATTCTGATTTGATTAGCTCTTGGCAGGAAGCTAAGGCTATGCCAGTTAGTGCCACCTGAGAGGTCCTGGCTCTCCTGGCTGGGGAACTGACTTACTGTTTCTCCTTTTTCGTTCCCCCACGCGAAGTTAGTGCGGGTTCCCGGGGTTGTGAGGCCAAAGCAAACCTGCGAGCGCCATCTGCAGGCCTTGGGAGGAAGGTACTAGCTTCCAGGCAGGACCCCTGAGCCTACAACCTCCAGCCCAGGGGAACCAACCTAGTCCTCAGCCCAAGGGAAGTGAGGGACAGAGCGGTGGGCGGCAGGCAGGTAGGTATTTTATCTTGTTTTGTTGTTTTTTTTTAATTTTTAATTTTCAGCAGTTACTCTGCAATTGGATTAATCAGATCGGTATCAGAAATTTGCGGGAGACAGGGCGAAGGCCGGGATCCCAGCGGACCCATCTCCCCAAGCAATGGAAAGCTCAGAATCCTGTGCAGCCGAGCCTGGCCTGAAATCCTCCCAGAGTAAGGGCATCCTGGGAAACCGGGGTTCTAGATGCCCAGTAGGAGTCAGTCTGAGTCTAGTGGGTGCTTTCCCCAATCCCAAATACTGCTGAGGCTTTTTGGCCATAGAGACAGGGTCATGAATCCGCTCACTGCCCTTCCTCTGGGCTTCAGGAGCTGCAGACAACGCCAAGAGGCTCGGATCCGCCCGGCAAGAAAGCACTGTTTGGCAGCTCGAGCTTCCCAGAGCCACCCTTTCTCAGACCCAGGGAAGCCTGGGAGGAGGGAGCGAAGGGGGGAGAGGAGAGTTAAAACATCAGCTGAAGTGCCAAGATGATTTATGAGACGAGGGAAAATATTTCATAAAGATCTCCCGGATATTCTGTACTTAACCAGTTAGGAGACAAAGGACTTCTCTTGCCTAGTGCGTGCGAGAGGACCCCAGCGAACAAGGGAGCGAGTGAGGGTCAGACTGCAGAGACTGGGCCAGCGGCTCGGATAGAAGCCGGGCCAGGCCGGCGTACTGCGCCGGCTGCGCTCGTTCCGGATCCGCAGAGCTAGCGGCGGGCGGCGCTCAGCCGCGTTCACAGCCTCCTCTTCTCCCCAGCCGGGGAGAGAGAGCGCCTTGGTCCCGCTTTGGGCTTTTGCATTCTCTGCCGCCGTGGCGGACAAGCCGCTGCGCACTGTATCTAGCCCAATCCCCTCCCTAGCTATCCGAGGGTCCAAGAGCCAAGTTCCCTGGCTTTCCTGCCGTCCGTTGGGTCCCACCAAGGCAGGTGGGTCCTAGCCAGAGGCCTCTAGCTTGATTCTGAACCAAGCGTTCTGGGCTGCCCAGACTCCGGGGAGGGGGTGCGCGCCACAGCGTGTGGGACGGGAGGGGACAAACTGCTGGGCACTTTGCCCCGGAATGAAAATCTGGCGTTCGTGGATGGGAAGGTACCACAGGAGGGAAAGGCGAAAGGGAAGGACCAGAGGTAAAGGGAGGGAGGAAGGAAGACACAGGGAGGAACGGAAGGGAACTCAGCACTAAGGATAGCCGACTTAAGACTAAGGATGAGGACCCGCGGGCAGTGGGATCTGCGGACATTGGCCGGTGGATGGCAGCCTGGGCGAGTTGGGACAGAGAGCCTGGCTTCGGGGCGCTGCCCGCTCGAAGGCCCACTGTGGTTGCCTGAATATTCATTAGGCTGGCCGTTCTTTATCCTTATCTAACGTTTATCTTCTCGGCGAGTTTCGTTTCTCAGCGTAGTTTTAATCCCGGGCTCCCAGTCCTCCTCCCCCTGGCCTGCTCCTCACCCTCCCTCTTCCTTCACCCGCTGCTCCCTCCCGTTTCCCCCTCCCCGGCCCTCCCCTCGCCGGCACCGGAGTGACAGGCGCGGGGCCCTCCTTGCCGAAGCTCGGGGCTCCGGCGCTGGCGAATCACAGAGTGGTGGAATCTATTGCCTTTGTCTGACAAGTCATCCATCTCCCGGCGCGGGGAGGAGGAGGGGGTCTGGAGGGGGCTTTGCAGCTTTTAGAGAGACACACACCGGGAGCCCAGACTCCAGTCTCTGGCCGAGTCTTCTTGCAGCCGCAACCCACCTGGGGCCAGCACAGCGCTGCGGGCGCCGCTCGGCTCCTAGGCTGCCTCCCTCCCTCCTGGCCCTCCGGCCGCCGCGGCGAGCGCCTGCCTTTTCCGGGGGCGGGGGCCGGCTCGCGCGCTCCCCTCCCGCGGGCGCCGCTTGGACATCCCGGGGATTGCTACTTCTCTGCCAACTTCGCCAACTCGCCGGCACTTGGAGCGGCCCGGCTCCCCTCCCGGCGCCCTCGGGCGGCCCCTGCCCTGAGCCCTCTCCGTTCAGAGCCTCTTAGACCACCGGGTTCTAGGGGAGCTGAGTGAGCCGTCTTCCCCACCCGGCCTCAGCTCTGGCCGCAACTGGCGCGCGAGCTATGCGCCCCCTGTGCCCCTTGGCCCAGCCCGTCGCCCGGGGGCTGCTTTACTGACTGCCCAGCCGCGTGCCCCGACGGTGGCAAGTTGCAGCCGCTGCGGTTGCAAACCCCGGCGGGCCCGGAGGAGTCCCGGCGGGGAGCCCAGAGCGGCGCCCCCCGCCCTTGCGTACCCCGCAGTAGCTGGGCGCCCGCTCACCCTCCCTCCCCCACCGTCCCTTCCTTTTCTCCTCAAGTCCTGAAGTTGAGTTTGAGAGGCGACACGGCGGCGGCGGCCGCGCTGCTCCCGCTCCTCTGCCTCCCCATGGATATGCACTGCAAAGCAGACCCCTTCTCCGCGATGCACCGTGAGTACCGGCGCCCGGCTCTTGTCTCGGTTCCAATCCCGTCTAGCCCCAGTGTTGTCCGGCCCCCTGCGCTCAGGTCTTACCCTAGAGGCCACACCGGCTTTTTCTCGGCCCCTCCTTTCGCGCCCTGCCTATTTCTCTTACCTAGTGTTTCTCCTGTCTTTAGCTACTCTCTTCTGCTTTTTGACACCCCATGCTTATCGTTCTGTCTGCCTTTGTACCTTTGCTAGTGCTCCACCTGCCTTTGCTCCTTCCACCTGCTCCTCCTTACCTCGCGGGATACATAGCCCTGGGCCCAGGTCCGAGCCACTAGCTTTTGCCCTGGACTAAAGGATTAATTGACAGTTCTCTCTCTCTCTCTCTCTCTCTCTCTCTCTCTCTCTCTCTCTCTCTCTCTCTCCACCCTCCCCTCATATCTACCTCTCTCAAACTTAGAGTTGTGGACCATCAGGAGGAGGCTCCTAGCTTGAGCAGCCTAGGTGTCAGGACAGCGAAGTAGAAGCTCCTGGGGGTGTGACCCCCTTCTGAGCCTCAGCTCTCCTGTACCTTCCAGCTTAGCCAAGGCTTCATGGGGACTGGTTTGAAATATTCCCATCCTCTTTCTTTCATCCTCACTTCTCCGCCTTCTCCTTCTCTTCCCTTTCAGCTGGGAACATGAGATTGTCAGGAGAAGGTGGTCACTTTTTCTTGACTTTGCCCAGGGGGGTGATCGTTCTAAAAACAGTAAGGGGTTTTGAGAAGAAATCAAAGTCAGGAAGAAAGCAAGTAGTAGAGCCTTCCAAACCAGCTCCTAGATGCTCTGCATTCTGGAGTCTTTTCTTTGCCTGCCTCCACTCTCTGTTGAGGACCAAGCAGCCAGCGCCCTGGCCAGGGGGTCAGCAAGAATGGAAAAATGAGAGGGAAAGAACAAAAGAAAGGCAAATGCTAAAGCCGAGGAGAAAGGAAAGAGAAATCAAATCAAGAGGGGGAAATCAAGGAAAGAAAATAAAAGAATGTTATGGGGGTGGAGAAACAGAAAAATAGAAAACGGGGAAATATCTAATGAATTTTGAATTTATCTAATTCATGCTAGGTCTTTAACTTGGAAAACTATTTGTCAGATATTTTCCTTTGCTTAAAAATATAAATAATATTTTAAATAGAAAAGCTCTCCCCATGTATAGATTAATAATTAAGGATAATTTGTAACTTTCCACAAGGTAACTTTTTAGACCTAGCCTTGTTCTGGGCTTTAAAATATGATACAATAAGAGAGAACCATGTTTTGTTTATTCCTTTCCTAAGCACACGTTTAACTTTACGGGACGATTAAAAAAACTTTCGGAATAAAATATAGTTCCCTAAATAATTTTTAGGTAAAGGAAACCCAAGCGAGGGACTATGGGCCACTGCGGGTGTCTCGGGCAGCCGGGAAGCCCAGCTCTTTTTCGGAGGGAATGAAACAGTCCACACGCCGGTTCACCAAGGCGGCCAGCCTCCGTCTCGGCCCTTCTGCCGCTGCCTAGCTCAGTAATTTTGGGGGACTGCTTCCGGGACGGGCCAGTCAGGGCCAGACTCAGGGAACCACTCCGAAACCAAAAGGGGAGCAAAGCCAGCAGAAGGTGGTCGAAGGAAGGGAGAAGGGCACTGCGCGGGCCGGCAAGGCGGCCGGCTGGCGGGCGAGCAGCTACATACAGCCCGGGTCGGTGCCCTCGGCAGTAGCACATTTCAGGCCTGATTCAGCGCGGGTCCTCCGCGGTCCATCGGCCCTGAACTCCAGAAGTGCCCGGTTGCAATCCCCATCCCATATATTGGGGCAGAGGGGCCGGGCCCGGAGCCCGGTGAGGCTGAATTATTCATCTTTAATCTGCCCACAGCTGCCGCCTTTTCATACCGGTAACGCGAGTTCTCCCGGGGCCTAAATTATTGATGGTCGGGGTTTGTAGGGCGGGGAGGGGGAGAAGAGTGGGACCAAGATGGGGAGACTATGGGGACTGGGGGTGTAAGATAAGAGGTTCTGGTTTCCCGGAGCCTCTCGATTAGAGGCCTCTGTCCAGGGGCTTTTCCCAAGCTTGTTTTGGTCTCGGCAGAATGTTATGGGAAAGAGATAAAGGGGGCACGAGTTGTGCCCGCTTTCTCCGAAACTCGCTGGAGGCCATGGGGCAGTGGCTGCAGGTTGCAGACCTTGTCTGTCCTGACTCTGCCGCTAGAAGTCTCTGCTGTTAGATTGCTGAGTAACTGCTGCTGTAGGTTAACCGCTGCAGGTGCAGGATTTCTAGGCTGCTTTAGGCCGCGGAAAATGGGGCAGTTGGCAGCGGCCTCGAGCCTGGCACCCCGGTGGTTTTCTCAGCTTCCAGGTTGGGAGCCCCCCCCCCCACCCAGTTGCCTAGTTGGTCTGGAAACCAAAGGCTCTGTTCCGGTACATCCGTCCTTACTGTTGGGTTTCCTGGGCAGCTGCTGAGGTCTGAGAGGTCAGAGGGTCCCGAACTGGCTTAGGCTGTAACACCCAGTGTCTGAGTCCTAACTCCGCAGGTGCGGTCCCTACCTACCATGCCACCTGGGGCTGGGGGAGACTCGGGGGACCCCAGCCCCGAGCGGCATAGTAGGCAAGAGAACCCCAGCAGCCCACGTTCGTCAGCCGCCTCGCTGTCTCGGAGTGCAGCGGATCCCGAATTACAATCTCTTCTGCCGTTTCTTCTTCACCTGGATTTCTTTCCATCTTAGATATTAGGGATGCAGAAGGAAAATATGGTTCCAAATACCTGAAGACAGAAAACATAAAGGGAAGGAAGAACTCCCGATTAAAACAAAATGAAAAAAAAAAAAAACAGGGAAAGAGGACAACGTACAATTACAATTAAAAACAGATACAAGGGGAGAGGTAGGCAGCGAAGGTGAAAAGGGGCTGCGTTTGACTTGACTTAGTCCCTCTCTATACTGAATACCCCGCTGAGCTGAGTCAAGTGGACCCCGACCCTCCAAAATCGTCTGGCTCCCTGCCCTTGTGATACCCAAACAACGCCTAGCCTGCGGCGCAGGCGGGTTCCTAGTCGGCCACAGTGCTGTCCCTGGCCCGGTCCTTTCTCTCCCCATCTCCCTTCTTTCACCCCTGCTGGCATTATTTCCCCTTTGTCGTTTGTTTTCCCTCTCCATTCTTCGCGTCTGTTCTCTCCTGGCTTCTCTACTCTTCCCGCACTTTCTCCTTTGCAGCGCGCTAGTCTGAGAGGCGGGTTCTTCCCTAGGCCAGCTTCTCGGTTCTTACAGCTAGCCGGGGTCCGATATCTAATCCTCCTCTTTCCTGCACGCAAACAAGCCACCTTTCTCTCCGAATCCCCGGATATGCCCCTTAGCCCTGCTTGCTCCCTTCGCACGTGGCTGGCCTCGGACCCTGACTAATGGCCGGTCCCTGCTGTTGTGGGGTGTTGTGTTTTTTTCTTGTCTCTCCCCAGCAGGGCACGGGGGTGTGAACCAGCTCGGGGGGGTGTTTGTGAACGGCCGGCCCCTACCCGACGTGGTGAGGCAGCGCATCGTGGAGCTGGCCCACCAGGGTGTGCGGCCCTGTGACATCTCCCGGCAGCTGCGGGTCAGCCATGGCTGTGTCAGCAAAATCCTGGGCAGGTGAGGGCCGGGCGCTGCCTCCCTTTCCAGCTGAGGCTTTAGTTAAAAGTTGAGGTGCTAGGCACGAAAGGAAGGTCCGGACTTAATGGGATCAAAAGACTGGCTGCCCCTTTTGAAAGGGCCGCTATGGTGGCTGAGCCTTGGAGTGAGGGTGGAGTAGAGTCTACCCAACATAACCCAGCTCCCTGGGCCTTCCGATGAAGGCAGTTACTTACATTCAGAAAAGGAGGGATTTTTTCCCCCAGCTAAGCAATGTGAATGGGGTTGGAAGAAGGGGCATCCCAAAAGGAGAAAAGACAGCATTAGGAAGGCTAAAGGAGGGTCCAGGTTCCATAGGGACTCTGGGCTTTAGATGGGATCAGCTCTCCCAGCAGGGGTCCTTCTCTGCTTCCTAAGTTGAGGGCCAGGCTTCCATTCCCCAGGGTGCCTGCTCTAGCCGCTGTCCATGCCCAGCTACAATGCCCTAGTCAAGCCCCTTCTGGAGTCTGCTCAGCTACACAGGGCCTTTTTCCCTTCACACTGATGCCTAGGGAGGGAGAGCGGCTTAGCAGCTCTGGAGCTTGCAGCCCCCCTGCCCTTGCCACCACCGGCTTCTTGCTGACCCCGACGGCCTTCCTGGCCCAGGTACTACGAGACTGGCAGCATCAAGCCTGGAGTGATTGGCGGTTCCAAGCCCAAGGTGGCAACGCCCAAAGTGGTGGACAAGATTGCTGAATACAAGCGGCAGAACCCGACTATGTTTGCCTGGGAGATCCGTGACCGGCTGCTAGCTGAGGGCATCTGCGACAATGACACAGTGCCCAGCGTCTCATCCATCAACAGGTGAGCAAAGCCCCCCTGGGCCTGGAGAGCAGGGCTCCAGTTCCCTACTCCTGCCTGTTGGGCCATCTCCCAGGCTCCATCTTCACTCTGTCCAGCCTCTATCCCTCCTTCCAGCCCCTAGCCTGAAGTCTTTGGGTAAGGAAAATGGACCTGAGAGGCATAAATAGACAGACAAACAGACAGACAGGGCTCTTTCCAATTCAGAGCTGAGTTTTCCCTGCCAGGCTTCTCCCGCCGGTGTCCTGGAAATGAATCCAAGTGTTTGTGGTAATTAAGACTCCAAGATTACCCGCCTCGGGATCTAGAGACAATCACAGCCCATAGCAAAGCTTTTAAAATGACCACTGTCTATTCATCGCTACCAAACAGACTTTTCTTTCTAAAGTCATGTACCCTTCCCCAGGGGCATCCAGAATCCTGACTCCTTTACCCTTTCAGCCAGCTCCCACAAAGCTTGCCTCCCAGGAGCCCAGGTCTTGCTAGCCAGCGCCACACAAATTTCCGGCCGAGAAGCACTGGCATCCAGGCCTACAAAGTAGATGCCAGCCACCAGCCAGGACTTGGCAGAGAGAAGGGGAGCTGGACAAGAACCGGGATGCCAGGCAGGTAGTGAGAGCAGGGTCCCTGCGGCTGACTCTTGGGAGATGCCCCCACCACTAGGCGTGCAAGAAGGAGGCTGCAATCTTTTCCATGCTGATAGGTTCAGATACTGGGATCAGATACTGGGACCATGCAGGCTCTAGTCAGTTCAGCTTGCAGGATACTTAGGTCTCTTAAGTCCCAGATCACTCTGGAGTGCTGTCTGGGAGATGGCAGGTCATGCTTTATGCATGTGCACCCCAGCCAGGGTATCAGTCTAGGGTGATTACAGAACACTCAGGCAGCCCTCAATCTCACGATCCCAAACTGGCGTCAGAACTGTTAGAGCCTGACCATGGTACACAGAGATTCAGGACTGCGAAAGTCACACTCCAGCCAGAAAGCAGGTCGCCCTCATTTCCAGGGACCCCCCAAACGAGAAGAGAGTTAAGGGTTTCATACTCTGTTATTCTTTGTACCCTTCATAGGCCCATTATCAGGACGACTAATAACTCAGATGGTGTTTCTCTCTGCAACTAGCCTCACCTGTCTTTTTTTAATATTTTGCAAATGATATGGAATTATCCCAAATCATCCCAAAAACAGCAGGTAGAATTAGCTGGTAGAATGTACCTTGGCTAAAGAAGATTCCCTCTGCCACACTCGTGCTGTAACATACTGCAAGGCGACCCCAGAAATTATCCCAGTGTGTGCCATCTGTATTAAAATGGTTATTCAGTTATGAACAGGGTAACATAATACTGATCGGCTAATTATACACCCTCCGAAACTCTCCAGCTCCCTGGGCCTGGCTCAGCTAGGTACTGGAAACGTGTGGCTGTTTGACATTTAGACACTTTTCCAAAAGAGCTGGAGAATAACACTGGGTGGTTTGAGAAAGCAGTAAGTGCTTTGCGTTTAAAAGTCAGGAGGCTGGGAAGCTTGGGGACTGAGGCAGGTGTGACAGTTAGGGGAAGGGAACAACATTTCTTTTTCCTTTTTTTTTTTCTGAGCCACCCACCCAGAGACTTTGCCTCTAGACCAGCTGGTGGTCCCTGCGGTGAGCTAGAGCTGAGGTCTTAGGAGGACAGTAGCCAAGCCAAGAGTGACCTCAGTGAGGAGCAATGTCACCTGGCTGGGCAGCGGTGCCCTGGCGACTGTTTGGAGATACACTTATTATCTGTGATGGGGACTGCAAACTTTGGGAGAGTCCAAGACACTTAAGTCACAGTGATTCGCTTCATGTGGGCGGGGTGTGGCGGCTACCCTGCCTAGCACCCTCCCTGTCTGCTCCCCCTCCAACACATATCCATGGATGGCCGAGCTGTTTTTAAGGCTGGTTCAGGCACAAGTTTGAGGATGTTTCATTCTTAAAGAGTCCTAGAGTGCAGAGGACAGTGACCCTAACATCAAGCTCCGTATGTCTGAAGGTGCATCTACCAAGCTATAAGAAAGTAGACTGGCGGGATGCCCATGAGATGAGCGCTGGGGAAAGAATGGTCCAAGCCCAACCACTCTAACAGCCAGCAGTGGCTGCTGGCCTTGGGTGCCTGTTATGTGAGGTACCCGCAGGCTTCCTTTGGGTGTGAAGAAGGAGGCATTTCTGGGTAGGCATTGCTGAAAGGGGAATGGAGCATGGGCCCAGGAACAGGGAAGCCACCAGCCAGCAACATGGGCGGCCCTGGCTCTGTAGTTAGACTTCAAGGCTTAATTTGTCAATGGGATATATTAGGCTGTTCTAAATTTTGCTTTGGGAAGAATCTTCCCATAGTTGGTACTTTGGAAAAATTGGCTGAGGCTTCCCAGTATGTCACGGGTACACATTTGGGCACCCCCATCATCAATGTCATTCCTGTGGGTACTCTGCCCTGAAGGGGAAGGTTCTTGTGGAGCCGCCTTTCTTGCAAATGCCTGATAAAGGCGTGGCATTCCTGCAGGTGCTGGTTGTATTAGGAACTTGGGCCTTTCTGTTCTGAGAATTTTCACTGTAGGAAGGAACTGGAGATATCCCTGTGTATAGAAGGCGATATGTACTGGGAAGTGGGGAGTTCCTGAGTTCAGAGCTTGGGGGATAGTAGTGTGTCCACTCGTGTTGCTGTTGTTTTTGATACACACACACACACACACAATGTACATACATACATGTCTGGAGTAAGGTGCTCAGGAGCCAGTATTGGCAAGAAAGGAAGTCTACACCTGCTCACGCACCTGAGCCAAAGGTTTTCGTCTTCTCCTCCCCCAAACAGATGCTGTCGCCGCACTTGAAATATGCTGTTATGGCTATAAACTAAATTGCTTTTCATGCTTTAAAAATGGTTTTGGCATTCTTTGGTCCTGCCACAATAAAGCCCTGGCTGTCCAACCTGAGTTTTCCCCTGGCAAATCCCCATAGAAATGCTTCTCTGGGCCAAAGGTGTGTGGTAGGGAACCATCCACACCCAGAAACCATTGGCCAAAATCTTAGCTCTGAGCAGGTCGTGGAATTTATTGAATTGTTATAAATATAAATTACAGCTCAGCGTGGAGTTGCCAGCTCTTCAGCTTGTATGACACCACTGTTGGGGACAGTGTTTGTAAACAGGTAACTTTAGGTTGAAACCTGGCATGGGAGATGGCCTATGGGCAGGGGAGAGATGGAAGATCCATGTACCGAAAGAGGGGAAAGTTACCTTGTCAGGTTGAGTTTTTGACGAAGCGGGAAGGATTTTCCTGCTTGAGTCTTCTTGTCGGACTGTTGCCCTGGGTAGCGACCACTCCTTTGAGAGAACAGCAGGAACTCCAGGTGGAGTCTAGAACTACTGAAGACCCTCTGGGAGTGGTCTCTGAGCTAGCTGATGGATGTCTTGAGGCTAGTCAACACTTTTTGGGGTCAAGGACTCTTCAACCTTAGATCTTTGCAATGGACCCTCGGGGCTTGCCAATCACCAACCACCCCTGTATTCTTCCTTATCCTGTTTGGCTTGAAGTGAGCACATTTCTCCTTGCAGTGACTGCACTGGCTTCAGGACTGCTGCAGCCTCGTTGCTGTGTTAAGCGATGCCAGTTCCTGTCACTTCGGTGTCCCTGCTGTGCAATTCTCAGGTGTTTGTCACTGGTCTGGTGGTGGGCAGCAGTTACCACTTGTTTTTTTAAGTGAGCTGGTAGTCACTAATCGCAGCCGTGGGGATTCTGGAGCCACATCCTAGACCAACACGTCTGTTCCTGCCTCTGAAATTTAGCTCTAGATTGCGTGGATTTGACTCTTGGACCAGGCTTGGCATGGAAGCTAGGGCAGAGGGGTGGCATTGTTTGCCACATCTTAGATCTTTACAGCTGTCTGTCACCACTGTTGGTGACAGGCCAAGAGTCAGGGGCGGGTCAGTGAGTTAAGAAAAAGGCTTCATCCCAAAGAGGAATGAGAAAAATAAGGGCAGAGAACTGTCCTGGGGCTGCAGGCCTTGCAGAAGGGGCTGCAAGCAGTGTCTTCTCCGAGGTTTCTGTCTCAAAGCTATTTTTCCTAGAGGGCATCTTTGCTGTTCTGGTCACCCGTACATGTGAGACAGGCATGGTTGTTGATCTGCTTCTTGTGTTTTTAATGTTTCATTTTTATTTATTTAGTGTGTGAGTGAGTGAGTGTGTGTGGCACACACCTAACACAGCACTCAGGTGCAGCTTAGCAGAAAGCTTGTGGGAATTGGTTCTCTCCTTCTACCATGTGGGTTCTGGGATGGAACTTAGAAGGTTGCACTGACTCCCGGGTCTGACTAGCCCCTGGTGGTTGGCTTGTGGGTTTTCAGTGGTTGGTTGCTGTGAGTTCCTACCTCAGCTGGCAACTTTTGAGATGAGGGGTTATCTTCAGAAAAACTCCGGGTTGGGTTTAGGAGGTGACATAAAGAGAAAAAGAGAGGGGAAACCCCAAAATAAACAAATAAAGTCCCAACTGTTCTGAGAACTCAATAAAACAATCACATCAAATATGAAGAGGCATAAATCTTGTGTCTGCACAGGTAACCCTACTGGATTGCTTTTATTATTGCTCAGGCTGACTCCATTTATTACCATCCAGAGCCCGGGCAAAGGAGACTGCGTGGAGGGTGGTCTCTGGTGCAATCCTATACCCTGAGAGGCAACAATCAGCCCATACAGCCAGGGATTTCGATGGGAGCCAGGAAGGGCCCATCTGTCTGCATGAAACCAATCAATAACTCTGTAACCAGAGCCCTTGTCACAGGGAAATGGACAACACAACAGTTCAATAGAGGGGCCACAAGGGGAATTAGCCAAGTGGAGATGGTGCCAGACAGGAGCAGCTCCTGGAGAAGGGACGCGAGGCTTCCTGGAGGAGAGGCTGGGAAGGCAGGGTTGTGCATGCTTCCCGGCACAAACAAGGCATTGCTGTGCAGTCAACCTCAGGAAGGACAGGCAACACTGGATGGTGGTGG